CTTCGTCTCATGTCTCCGCCGCCACCGCACGCTCAGGCTCCCATCATGGCTTCCCTGCGAGAGTCAGCCAAGAGACTTCGCGTATCCTTCCGCGTCCGTCAGCACAGATCATTCCGCCTTCTGCTCAGCGCAATGTAGTCCGCGCCACATCATCCAGCCGCCGCTCGGCTGCTCTGCGAGTTGCCGCCACCTCCGCTCCGACGACACGTTACGAGTCCGGCGTTCAGAGCCTTCAGCGCGACATACGGGGAGAGTATTTCGTGAAGGAATGGAAGGATTTGAGATTTGAAGCGGAAGGATATTTTTCCACAGCCGGAACTATTTTTCGTTCCTTGAGGAGGGGGAGTCACGTGGTGTAGAAGTGGGGAACTTTTACAAAATGTCATTTTTTTTTTTTTACTTCATTTCCCTCTCTTCCTCCTGCTGTAGAGAAAGAAATGAGAGGCCTTCTCTGTACTTCTCCCAGCATTGGGGGGGCCCTGCAAACAATACACTTCATTCCCTCCAACCCTTCTATAATATGTTCTCAGAAATACATATATTCTTTCTTAGGATTTTGGAAGATTGAGTCATATTTGATTAAACCATTTCTTTTTTCCACAAAGCAGCTCAGCCTCAAATATGTACACTGTAAACACAAATGTCATCCAGACCAGCGGTCGCCAACCAATGGTCCGTGGACCACTGGTGGTCTGCGAGAAAAATTTGGTGGTCCGCAGAAAAATCTGGACATTATTTGCATTTTTTATGTTTTATTAATAATAAAACAAAAATAATATTCTAAGAAATTCTTATATTCTGAATGACAATTTTCGCCTTTATATTGCACTAAATTCACACACTGTACTAGAGAGGGGGAAGCAAGAGAGGTGCAGGTCAGGGTAGTCTTAAGGCAACCGTTGCCGAGCCGCACGCTTCAGTATTGTTTCGACCGGCGGACTGGGCCGGGGGGCAGGGAAGCCATTCTCTGATGCCGTGCAGGCTGGGCCGTCATTGAAGCGGCACGGAGGCTCCGGGGCTGCCTCTCACTGACTCAAGCAGCGGCTGTCACAAGGAATGCGTGGCTCTCAGTACAGACAGCACAAGCTGCCAGTGATCTTGAGAAGCGGCGTGTTCCTTATCATAGCCGTAAAGCATTTACGATTTTGTTATCATTAAATAATAATTTATCATTTTGTCATATTAAATATGTGCATTTCATATTAATAAAGTGGAAGATCTCTGATCATTATTTTACAAATGTATTTATCTTTTTAAAAAATTCATATTAGTGGTCCGCGGGATATAAAATGATTAATTTAGTGGTCCACGACGTCCGAAAGGTTGGCCATCCAACTTAATTATAAGAGATTTGGGGGTTAATCTGGGGGGCATATTTATTTATTATTATTATTATGAACTCCCACACAAATACTCCAAATTCCATAGACCTATGAGATACTTACGGTGTATCAAAATGCCAAAGAAGAAAAATAAACTCTGTGAGAGAAGTCATTTATTATATTTTAAAAAATTACCTTGATTAGAAACTGTTTGAGATTCTTCTATAAATACAAAATTATATATATTTCTATATAAAAATGACCTCTAATAAATAAAACGTATATTTAGGTCAATGCCTTGTCTTATCAGACTGTTTGAGATTCCCTATAAATCTATACACTCGCAAGTTATCCTCTTATATGTGTTACCAAAACATTTGTCTGTTTGGGAATAGTGTTCACTTGTGTATTGTGTTATATGTATACATCAGTATATAGAGATTATTATTATTGGTAGGGAATCTCAAGCAGTCTGCTCAATGTGTTGGTCTTGCTATGTGTTTTATGTAATAAAAGGTCATTTTTTTTAAATATAATAAAAGGCTAAATTCCACTCGCAAGCTCTGGTGCAAAATCTTAAGGGGTTATTCACGAAGGAGCCAAAGGATCCAGCCGTAGTTTCGGCTGGTCGTTCAGCTCTCTTCGGCCGCCACGAAGGGCTGCTGTACGGGCTGTAAGCCCTGCAAATGACAGCTGGGTGGAGCCACCTGTGATGTCACGGCTGGCTCCGCCCAGTTGTAATGACAGATCCGCATCCCCAAATGACCCAGGGATGCTGATATGTCATTAACCACTTCAAGACCAGGTGTTTAGACCCCCTTCCTGGCCAGGCCATTTTTCAGTGTTTCTCTAGCAGGTGGCAGCCAATAGGAAACAGTTGGGCAGAGCTAGCTGTCACTTTTTACATTTATTAATTTTTTTAATCTTTATTTTTTAATTTTACTATTTATCTACATTTTTTTTTAAATAGTTTTTAAACTTTTAAAAAAAAACTCCTTTCATTGCTTTTCTATTCTGCTTGGTACCACCGAGGTACCGAGCAGAATAGCGGAGCCGAATGCCGCTAGGTGGCATTCAGCTATTCACTCACTGCCGTTCGGCACCTATGAGAATAGGGGCGAACGGCAGTGAGTGAGGTGTCGGAACTTCGGCTCAGCCGATCCAGATGTTGGATCGGCTGAGTCCAAGTCAGAGTCCAAGCAGAGCATGTTCGGCTGACCAAAGTGCAGCCGATGTATGGCTGATTTCAGTCAATGTACGGCCGAAATCAGCCGTACTGAGCCGGAGTGAATAGCCGAATGTTGTTTGGCTCACTTCACTTCAGCTGGGTTAATCACTCGGCTGCCTTTGGCAGCTTTGTGAATAACCCCCCTAGTGTCCGGCCGTACCAATTTACTGAAAATGGTTTGAATGCCTTAAAGTATAAATAAACTCTTTTTTTGTTGTTGTTGCATATATCTACTGCTAGCAAGCAGTAGATATATGCAAAAACATTTTAAAAAGTTACTAAAAAGGTTATATTCTTACCTCTGTTTTCGTCGCTTGCTCCAGCCTGAAGGTCTGAAGATTCTCAGCATGATGGGGCAGGGGCATGCGCAGTACAGATCTTCGGCGGGGAGAAGAGGAGAGACTCACTGTCACTGTAAGTCAATGCACGCAGCCGTGAGCGTGGATGCGGACAGACACCGTGGGACAGGAAGAGATAGGAGTATGCAGTGGATCACAGACCGGCACCAGCGCTGGAAGGATTGCTGAATACAAGTGGAAGGAAGAAGATGATCAGATCAAGGGGCATCATTTAAGGTAAGTCCATAAAGCAGCTTTGAGGGGGGAGAAAAATATTTGTGACTTTAATGTCACTTTATCTTCTTTATTTACTACATAACTCGTCCTGCTGGTTGCCTCCTGCCTTTTTTCGGCAGGCTACAGCTGCATTTAGGGACCTTATTTGAAAAAAATAAACTTCCAAGGATTAAACTGGAGTACATACAATATTCCATTTCTATAGGAGGCCTTGCAGCCCAAAATCAGTGGGTCTATTATCTCACTGCCCAAATTCAACATATAGCTGGCTGGGAGAAAGGCAACTGCCCTACTTCCTCCTTTCTTATTATCTCCTCTCTACATCAGGGTGTGGATTCTCTACATGGCCTTGACACTCCTGTCTACTTAAAGGATTGTGAGCTCTACCTACGCTGTACTTGATGGAAAAACTCTGGCTGACAATTAAGGCTCTTTTGGGTATTTCTGTCCATATTAGATATACTCCTCTCTTGCACAATGAACTGTTACCAGAAGTGTGTAGGTTGGAGTGTTTCAGCAGATGCGAGAATAGTAATGGGCCGAACACCCCCGTGTTCGGTTCAAATTCGAGCTTTAGAACGTGGAAAAAGTTTGAATTTGAACTTAATGCAAGTTTATGGGGCTGGAACTTTGAAAATCAATTGTCGTCCTTTTGAAGGCTTATATGCAAGTTATTGGCCATAAAAAAGGGTATGAGGATTCGGGTACTGCCCTGGGGGACATGAATCAATTAAAGAAAAAACTTAAAAAATACAGTTTTTAAAGGAGCAGTGATTTTAACATTGCTTAAAGTGAAACAATAAAAATTAAAAATTCCTTTAAATATCGTGCCTGGGGGATCCCCCTTAAACTGCCTGTAGTCCTAGCTTTTTGTCTTCCACAGAGTGTACCATACACCTGAGTTTCTTCACAGAATTGGGGCTAGAACAGACCTTAACTGTGGTTGATGCAGCCATGTGCAATGCAAGGCTCCTGGTAGCAGGACTGACAACAGACTGTACTGGCAGCATGACTGACAGCAGACTCTACTGGTAGCAGGAATAACAGCAAACTGTACTGGTAGCAGCAATGACAGCAGACTGTACTGCTAGCAGGAATGACAGCAGACCATACTGGTAGCAGGACTGACAGCAGACTGTACTGGTAGCAGGACTGACAGCAGACAGTACTGGTAGCAGGACTGACAGCAGAGTGTACTGGTGGCAGGACTGACAGCAGAGTGTACTGGTGGCAGGAATAACAGCAGACTGTACTGGTAGCAGCAATGACAGCAGACCATACTGGTAACAGGACTGACAGCAGACTGTGCTGGCAGTATGACTGAGAGCAGATTGTACTGGTAGCAGGAATGATAGCAGACTGTACTGGTAGCAGGGCTGACAGCAGACCATACTGGTAGCAGGACTGACGGCAGACTGTGCTGGCAGTATGACTGAGAGCAGACTGTACTGATAGCAGGAATTACAGCAGACTGTACTGGTGGCAGGACTGACAGCAGACCGTACTGGTAGCAGAATAGACAGCAGAACTGGTAACTGGACTGGTAGCAGGCAGGTAGCAGGAATTGATGCAGCAAGGGGCTCTGATGTCCAGGAACAGACTGATACAAGCAATGACTACTCCAGCTTCAATGGACACCAGAGTCCCGTGGCATGGCACATAGTGTGGCCTCGACACTACCGCCAAAACTTGCCATCTACTAGGGAGGGAGGAGACGCCAACGCAGGAACGAGGAAGCTATGTGACTATGACATACAGTTTAGTAAAAACTTTTGAAAAAGTTTAGAAATAAATTCCTTCCTTGACCTTTGTAGTAAATATTATAGATAAATATGGTTGGTAACACCCCAACTAAATCACAGACCACAAACATTGTATTGTTCTGGTTTTTAT